TAGATGTAGATAACAGATGTAGCAAAAAAATGTGAAATGTAAAATTTTTTTTTTAATGCTAAAATTCTAAAAAATCATATGTTCAAAAATGTAAATACTGACTGAGTACGGGTATAAGTAGAGTCGCGTCTTTAGAAGCGACTCACACGTTCCTTCTCGTTTTTTTTATTATTACGGGATTTTATTTATCGAATCTTCCCTATTAGAGACTTACGACAAGTATACAAATCTTAGCCTAATATATTTATTTAATTAGTTACACTTAATTACTTAGAGTACGTCTCTAGCTAAGTATTATTGCTGGGTAGGGAGGTCTCTTCGCCGGAGTCGTGTATGGCTAGTGTGCCAAGTTAAAGACTGCTCAAGTCTATTAGGATGGGCTTGAAGCTTGGCCTGGTACTTTGCATTCGTTTTGGCAATTTCATCTTTAACTGATCCTACATTTAAGTCTTTATGGATATTTTCATTCCGTATGTACCATGGTGCCCCAGTGATAGTTCTAGTATCTTCGATTGAGCTCTCTGGATTATTTCTAAATTACTAACGCAAGCATTTCCCCATAGCTCGGAGCCGTATGTCCAGATGGGTTTGAGAACTGCATTGTACAAAAGCACTTTGTACTCCAGTTTTAGTGGTGAATGGGTGTTTATTAGCCAATGTAGATTACTAGCTTTAAATTTAAGTAGATTTCTCTTCGCTTCGATGTGCTTATGGATGTGCTTATGGAGGGCAAGTTTGTCTGTTTAACGTGAAGGTGACATGCTTGCACTTTTGCTCATTTGCATGTATCCGCCAGTCTGCTAGCCATTTTTTTAAGGCCACAAGATGAGATGATAAGTGTTCCGTGGCCCTTCTTGGGCACTTGGAGCGACTTAATATGGCAGTATCGTACTGCTAAAGTTCTTTGCTGTAGGTATGACTCCAATATTCCATGGATGTTCTGTGGAAGTAATATTTTGATCTTGTGGATTAAGCCATCTAACCAAACGCGTTCGAAAGCCTGGGCGACATCCAGAAAAACAGCGGAGCAATACTCCCGTCTTTCAAATGAATTTCGTATCTCAGAGGTTATACGGTTTACTTGTTCAATGGTTCCGTGTTTTTCGCGAAATCCAAATTGGTGAGTCGGGATGGCACCGTTGATGTGTAGGTGTTGTTTGATACGATTCAGGAGCAGCTTTTCAAATATCTTTGATAGGCAAGGCAGTAGGCTGATAGGTCTATATGATGATGGCTTGGACTTTTTTTTCCGGCTTTATGGATCATTGTGATGACTGACTCCATTCTTGAGGATAATAGCCCCATTTCATCATGCTGTTGAATATCACAGTAAGGAAATACACTGCACAGCTCGGCAATTCTATGAATCCACTTTGAACATTGGCTGGGGAATTTTTTTTCTTTTTATTATGTTCATAGCTATTTTGACTTCGAAGCACTTATCGTTAAGTCCATCTATTATGTCATTGATTTGGACTGTTGGTTCGATTCCTTTGATAACCACTTGTAATCCTTTGCTACTTTTAAGTTGGTAGGTGTAGTAATTCATTTTTTCATTTTCGAGGTATTTCGCAACTGATCGATAGTTTTGTTCGTCATTGACTTGTATTTTTGTTTCATTTATATTACCCCTTTTTATGGACGTGACATAGAATGTGTTTGCGCCAATTGTATCAGTTATTTTTTTGACCAGTTCAGCACAATTTGCCTGTCGAACATAAATAGGTGGCAGTCTTAATTTTTTGGCCTTGGGTGTTTGGGCGATCTCATCTTCATTTGGGACACTTAGTATCGCAAATCTATTGTTTGCTAGTGCCTTATGTGGCACAGTGTTCTCGGTTATTTTAGTTATTTTAGCTGCATTATTGTTCTTCACATTTTGTAGGCTCAATTTTCTTTTGATTTGCACATAGCGATCGAGCCCATTTTGAACTAACGCTCCGTTAGCGTTTTTTGAACTTATTGGTTGGGTGAGGTGGGGCTTGTCGCAGTGGGTCGACAGTATCGGGCACTGAGCAATTGCAGTGGTTGTTGTTGTGGTTGTTGTTGTGGTTGTTGTCGTTGTTGTGGTCGAAGACACAGTTTTGAGCGAGGGCATTGTACTAGTTGTTGTCGATATTAGCAAATCGCTGAGCACTGAGCACTCCATGACCCACTTTGCAATGCAGGGGAGAGAGAGCGTGCTCTCTCCTCGTTCACTTGCAGTGATGCAGTTTTTTTTGGTACTGCTGCCTTTGGCGAGCGTATAGAGAAGTACGCATTGTTTTTTGCTTGCGAGAGCCGACGCTCGTCTTGTTGTTGTTGCCGGGCTTGGCTCATTTTGGCTTTGGTTACAGTGCTTGTGCTCTTTACCGAGCTGGTGCTCTTAAACGTTGACATTTGTTCTTTTCTATTATTTCTATTAATCTTTATTACTCGATTGGATGGTATTCATGGGCAGCACGATCACTAGTACCCATGCCTACCCCGAGCGCTTTTTCACGAATTAATTTATGATTAATCGCGATTAATTGATTTAATTGATTTAAAATACGTCTGTAGTCGTTGACGGTTGACGACCAACCTTAGTTAGTCGTAGGAAAATTCTTGGGGTTATTTTTATGCACAACCTGATCAAGGGTGACGTAGATAGCCCTGACTTGTTGAGCCGCATAAACTTTACGATTCCTATTAGATCTACTAGAAACTTTATTCCTTTGTGCCTTCAGCATTGTATTCCTTGCTCCAACTTATTCCTTGCTCGGACTTCAATTCCCTCTACCACCACTAATTCCCTTCCTCTTCTTAAATAATACTAACATACCTTTCCCCTAAGTAGTAAAATTTCTTAGCTATCTTTGCATGATTAGCTCTTTAGTTTTCCTCGAATTATAGTCTATCACTTATCGTTCGTAAAAAAAAATACCCCACAAAAATCATAAATTTTGCATTTGAAAGCTTAATATTTCCCACACGGTAAGCTGAAACCACAAATACTTAGTCCAATTTATAGATGCACATTGGGTTGGGCCAATAACACTACTCGACAAAATCGAACTTTTTTTTTCCTCAAGGATCCAAACCGACTTTTTCTGATAGATATGGGGATTTAAAATTTTTTAAAGAATTATGGTTTTTTTTCTATCGCAGAACTTTTTTTTGAAGACATTTTTGAAGTCTGGTATTTTTTTTTTAAGCTTTTTTCAGAGGTAGCGATAGTTTTTTTCACATAACTTTAATATCTTACGTCTGGTTGTACAGAACTTTGCTATTTTGAAAAGGTAATTAAAACAGCTAGAAGTTGAGCCCAAATACTTTGTGATTTCAGCTTACCGTCTGGGAAATAAAAAGCATTGAAATGCAAAAATGATGATTTTTGTGGGGTATTTTTTACGAAATTTTGACTTTAAAAACTCAGGAAAAGTCGAAAAAAATTGGGAACAAAGGAACGCGATCAGGTACCAAATGTACAACCCTTGCTCGTTTGCAAATTTTAAAAGATTTAAGCAAGCACAAAACGGTTTAGTAACCTTTTCACACTGGTGAAATGGCTGGTCATCATTTATTTGTGGGATGGTCCGCAAGGTTTTGCCATGGAAAGGGCTATAAAGGGAATTTTCAAAGCTTGGCAAACCTGATATTTTGAAAATCCGTTAATAACACTAGTTAACACGATTTTTCCTCAAGGAACAAAACGAACTTTTTCTTAAAGATTTGGGGCTTAGAAATGGTTTGATGATATTTTTTTTTTCTATGGCAGAACTTTTTTTTGAAGAATTTTTGAAAACTGGTATTTTTTTTTTAAGCTTTTTTCAGAGGTAGCGCTTGTTTTTTTCACATAGCTCTAGTATCTTACGTCTGGTTGTAAAGAACTTTCCTATTTTGAAAAGGTAATTAAAACAGCTAGAAGTTAAGCCCAAACACTTTGTGATTTCAGCTTACCGTCTGGGAAATAAAAAGCATTGAAATGCAAAAATGATGATTTTTGTGCGGTTTTTGTTACGAAATTTTGACTTTAAAAACTCAGGAAAAGTCGAAAAAAAATTATATCTTGTGTCCTCTATTTTTTTGTGTATAGGTGCGTTAATTTGGCGTCGTTAAAGGTATCGCTCTTTACAACCAGACGTAAGATACCAGTTTTCAAAAATTCTTCATAAAAAAGTTCTGCCATAGAAAAAAAAAAAAAATATCATCAAACCATTTCTAAGTCCCAAATCTTTAAGAAAAAGTTCGTTTTGTTCCTTGAGGAAAAATCGTGTTGACTAGTGTAATTTGACCAACAAATATTGTTTTGTTCTTTGTTATAGCCATATGATATTAGACATTGCTAACTCACATGCTGAAAAAATAAAGATGGCCTTATGGGGAATGCCTGCAGTCAGAGCGAGAGAACTATATGCGTCAAGCTGGCTGCCCAGTTAAGCTACAGCAGCGCTGCGGCAGAATTTGTCGAAAATTTTTATTTGCGGATACAATTTTGCTGGCTTGGTGTCTGTGTTCTGCTGGAAAACATCATTGTGTGTCAAGTAGTGCCTCAGTTGTTCTACTAAAAGCCATTAGACGTGTCTAGAGACGGCTACGAACAATAGTGTTGCATTTTGTCTCTAGAATTATCCCTCTCTACGCAGCAAAATTCTCTAAGTCTAATGTCATATGGCTATTAGTAAATATGATTATACATTTTTTTTTTCAAATTTTTAGTGTAATGTTTGGCGGTTGCTACCACGAAAAAAAAATACACATTTTTTCGCTCAGCCTACTGCACATATTAGCTTTTCAGAATGGCAAAAGCCAGATGTAAGATACTAGATTAAAGTGAAAAAAAGAAGAGCTACCTCTTAAAACATCATTAAAAAAATACAAAATTTTTTTAATTCTTTATAGAAAATTCTGCCATAGGAAAACAATTTTATTAAGCTATTTTAAAGCCTCATTGCCCATTCTTTATAATATTTACATTTATTACCTATCAGAACATTTTTTACCTAAAATTCATCTTATATACCTTTGTTAATTCCAAGGACTTCTTTTGGTGCCAAATGGTGAAAGTTTGGGTTATTGGTTTGGTGACGAAAATCAGTACCCGTCTAATGCATTTTCTGTAAGCAACATTACACAAAATGGGACTCACACGATGCATAGCTCTTCTAAGAATTCCCATCCTTGGGGAATTTTTTTTACTGTTTTGGGAACAGTTCTCCTTGACTTTGATGCTGATGCTTGTCAAAGTCCTTCAAGAGCGTACTTACTAGACGTATGTGTTCCAGAAGATCATGCCAAGGGTCTTTCTACTTTCACCATTATGGCAGGACTGGGAGGATTTTTTGGATATTCAATGGGAGGCCTTAATTGGGATGAAACAGAAATTGGTAAGCAAATTAAAACATTACCTACATTAGATTAATACTTATATAACTGATTCAGGTCGCCGCTTGGGAGGACATGTCAAAGCTGTTTTCACAATAATAACTTTTATATTTGTCGCTTGTGTTACATTAACAATTACCAGCTTTTCTGAAATACCCCTTTGGGCACTATCGAGTTCAGAAAACAGTCACTATCCAAAGGAAAAAGAAGAGTCAGAATTGCCTCTTTCAACTTATGGTGCAGTTGACATTGAAGTACCTAGCATGCGCGCTGAAAATAAGAAACAGGTAAACACATTTTATTATTTTAAATTTTCTGAAATTTGTAAGAACAAATTATTATTTCTGTATTTTCGGGAAGAAAAAAAATTGTTTGAAATCGGTGAACGTTTGAGGCACCGAGGTAAAAATATTCGTTATTGGCCAAGTTCTTCTTTACAGATTAGTACTCAGACGCGCTAAGTTTTCCATCGACCGAACCAGGGATGATATTCGTATGATATTCGTATAATAGTGCATGCCTGTATTTCGGTCGAACAAAAATTTCGCAGCAGGCGTTGCGCAGACCGGTACTCAGTTCGGAAAAAGACAAGCCGATAGATACTATCTCCATCTCGAGCAGAATATAGAATTATTCTATCTTTCGTAGTCCAAAATACACATATAAACACATTAAAAATGGAGGGAAACAAGGGCAAGCCAGCTACAAAAATGCAAAAATGAAGACAAACTAAAAATAACACTACTCGACAAAATCGAACTTTTTTTTTCTCAAGGATCCAAACCGACTCTTTCTGATAGATATGGGGCTTTAAATTTTTTAAAGAATTATGGTTTCTATGGCAGAACTTTTTTTTAAAGAATTTTTGAAGTCTGGTATTTTTTTTTAAGCTTGTTTCAGAGGTAGCGCTTGTTTTTTTCACATAACTCTAGTATCTTACGTCTGGTTGTAAAGAACTTTGCTATTTTGAAAAGATAATTAAAACAGCTAGAAGGTTAGAGCAGCTAGAAAAAGTCATTTTGGTCCACAGCAGAAAAAAAAAGTTCAATTTTGTCGAGTAGTGTTATAGGAAAATTATGATTTATTAATCTCATACCCAGTACTTATTTTAATCATTTAAAAATAAATAAAAAAAAAATTTTAAATGCATTTCTGTGCGGCAGGATCGGATTTATCCAATAATATCCATTGTCGTTCTCCAGCTCCACAGCGCCCACAAAGAAGCCATTTTGCTTGCTTTAATGCAAAATTTGAAATTTTAAAAGATTTAAGCAAGCACAAAACGGTTTAGTAACCTTTTCACACTGGTGAAATGGCTGGTCATCATTTATTTGTGGGATGGTCCGCAAGGTTTTGCCATGGAAAGGGCTATAAAGGGAATTTTCAAAGCTTGGCAAACCTGATATTTTGAAAATCCGTTAATAACACTAGTTAACACGATTTTTCCTCAAGGAACAAAACGAACTTTTTCTTAAAGATTTGGGGCTTAGAAATGGTTTGATGATAATTTTTTTTTTCTATGGCAGAACTTTTTTTTGAAGAATTTTTGAAAACTGGTATTTTTTTTTAAGCTTTTTTCAGAGGTAGCGCTTGTTTTTTTCACATAGCTCTAGTATCTTACGTCTGGTTGTAAAGAACTTTCCTATTTTGAAAAGGTAATTAAAACAGCTAGAAGTTAAGCCCAAATACTTTGTGATTTCAGCTTACCGTCTGGGAAATAAAAAGCATTGAAATGCAAAAATTATGATTTTTGTGCGGTTTTTGTTACGAAATTTTGACTTTAAAAACTCAGGAAAAGTCGAAAAAAAATTATATCTTGTGTATAGAGGACAATTGGGAACAAAGCAAACGAACAAGGGTTGTACATTTGGTACCTGATCGCGTTCCTTTGTTCCCAATGGGCAGTTGGGCTCGCAACCTTCCAAAAGGTATTTTTTGTTCATTTTTTCCATATTTTAGGTTTGGTTAACGAATTTTAGCTCCAAAGTCTCTCCATAGTTTTTAATGAGCGATACCTTGAACGACGCCAAATTAACACCTATACAAAAAAAATAAAGGACACAAGATATACTTTTTTTTCGACTTTTCCTGAGTTTTTAAAGTCAAAATTTCGTAAAAAATACCGCACAAAATCATAATTTTTGCATTTCAATGCTTTATATTTCCCAGACGGTAAGCTGTAATCACAAAGTGCTTAGACTTAACTTCTAGCGGTTTTAATTATCTTTTCAAAATAGCAAAGTTCTTTACAACCAGACGTAAGATATTAGAGCTATGTGAAAAAAACAAGCGCTACCTCTGAAAAAAGCTTAAAAAAAATTCTTCAAAAAAAAGTTCTGCCATAGAAAAAAAACCATAATTCTTTAAAAAATTGTAAATCCCCATATCTATCAGAAAAAGTCAGTTTGGATCCTTGAGGAAAAAAAAGTTCGATTTTGTCGAGTAGTGCTATCTACGGTTGAAACGTATGATGGGATGGTGTTTGAGATTTGTGCATAATTGTCGGAAGGAGATTCAACAAAGAGAAAAAGGAGAATTATCCGCACCCGAACTAGTCCTTGCTGAATCTAAATTATTTAAAATGGTACAAAATCAAGTATACGCAGAGGAGGTTGCTGAATTACACAAATTTGAAACAGTTTCTAAGAGTAGTTCCATTTATACGCTCTCTCCAAAACTAAATGCGTGTGAAGTTTTAGTTGTCGCGGGAAGATTGGACTATGCCATCGCTATACCAGAAACACAACGTCAACCAATAATACTGCCGCCACGACATAGCTTCACGGAACTTATTATAAAATGGTATCATGAAATCTACCACCATCAAAACGACGATACCATTATAAACGAAATAAAATGCAAATTCTGGATCACAAATCTACGAAAAGCGGTTCGTCGGGCAAAAGCTTTTTGCCAATATTGCAAAAATCATAGTGCCAAACCAATCGTTCCTTTAATGGGTCAACTACCCAAGGAGAGAGTGACACCATATCAACGACCTTTCACCTTTTTGTGGGATTAGACTACTTTGGTCCGGTGATGGTTACCATCGGAAGACGACAAGAAAAAAGATGGGTTGCACTCTTTACGTGTTTGACAATCAGAGCCATGCACTTGGAACTAGCTGCTGATTTATCCACAGACGCCTGTATTTTATGTATAAGGAACTTCGTGAACAGAAGAGGTGTTCCCGTAACAATACGATCAGATATGGGAACAAATTTCGTCGGAGCAGATAACGAACTAAAACAGGTTAAGAATTTATTTGACTGGGATTACATAAAATCGGAGATGTCAAATAAAGGAATCGACTGGAAATTCAATTGCCCTTCGAATCCCAGTTCAGGAGGATGCTGGGAGCGCTTGGTGAGATCAACAAAACGAGTCCTGAGCGTAACACTCAAGGAGAAAGCACCACACGTTGAAACGTTAAGAAGTTTACTTATTGAGGCCGAAAATATTGTAAATAGTCGACCTCTCACTCACCTACCTGTTAACAAGATGACCTGGAGCCTCTAACGCCTAACCATTTTTTGCTCGGAACGACGAATTCTACTCAAACGCCAGGGGATGTAAACAATTTTTGTCATCGTAAACAATACCGCGTTGCCCAGCAATTAAAGGATCACTTTTGGAGTCGATGGATTAAAGAATACTTGCCGACTCTGACTAGACGAACCAAATGGCATTCAAGGACCAAGCCTATCACCATTGGAGATGTAGTAATAATTTGCGAAGATAATCAACCTATAGGAAGTTGGAAAAGAGGAATCATAGTCAGCTCGATTCTAGCCAAAGATGGTCATATTAGATTAGTATAAGTTAAAACATCCACAGGCATTCTTAAACGTCCAGTATCAAAATTAGCAGTTTTGGATGTCTTAGGTAAAACACCGGAGTAGTTTTACGGTGGGCGGGATGTTGCTGGTTCAATAAATATTCGGTTGCTGATTCGAATTCAAATTTTTAATTTCAAACGGTCACCATGCTCCTACCCTTATTATTGTCGGCCTGCTATCGATGTTTCTGAGAACGAGAAAATATCGGGACTAAGTCGCGTCGCCGATCTCTAAAAAACAGAACGAAGAGGAGAGTAAAAAAGAAGACGGCGGCACGACAACACAATTTAATAAATCATAACTATAGTGCTTACATAAATAAATGTATTTCGAAGCATAAAGATTCTATTTGGTGTTGTTGTTAATTATTTGCCACACGGAGTGGTAACAAGCAGCTTGTCGTTGTTTGCCTCAATTCGCTTTGCCATTTCACTATACTCTGCCGTTTGAAATTCTGGCGACTGAGGATCCACTAACAACCCTTGGTTGGCTCCTATTGCCGCTGGCTCTTGCTCGTTCACCCTGGACAATGCATCAGGGACGACATTTAATCTACCACTTCGATGCTCAATCTTTAAGTTGAAACCCTGCAGTTTTAACGCCCAACGAGCCAGACGAGAATGCAGATCTGTCTGCGACATGAGCCACTTCAGGGACGCGTGGTCGGTTATGACCGTGAACTAATGTCCTTCGACATAGGTTCGGAGGCGCTTAATGTAGACAATGGCTGCTAAACATTCTTGCTCGGTAACTGAGTAGTTCCTCTGAGCTTTATTCAACTTTTTTGGCACAAAAGCAAGTGGATATTCATTGCCGTCTGGTGTATTTTGAACAAGCACTCCTCCCTTACCTATTTTGCTGGCATCGCACTGAACGGCTTATTGAAATCGGGACTTCCTAACACTTGCGCAGAGCATAGCATATCCTTAAGCTTCACGAATGCTGCCTGTCCTTCCGAGGTCATTGCAAATCTATGCCTAGGTTTTAATAAGTCGGTAAGTGAAGTGGCGACCGAAGCGAAGTTGTCGATGAATTTTCGGTACCATGCCACCATTCCCAGGAAACTCCGAAGGGACTTAAGCGACTTTGGCAACGGAAACTCCTTCATTGCCGAAATTTTTCCGGGTCTATACGGTTGACGCCATTTCCCACAATATTGCCCAAGTAATTAACTGAACTGAACTTGCTCTTCTCGACATTGAGCGTCAACCCAGCAGCTTAAAAATGTCCTGCTACCACACGTAGCACCTTCATATGAGTCTCAAAACTATCTGAAACCACCGATAAGTCGTCAATTAGTCGGTCCATAAGTGGAGTCATCGAATGAACCGTCAACCGTCTACGACTTCAGACGTATTTTTGTATCGCTCATCCGTAAAATCAATTAATCGCGATTAATCATAAATTAATTCGCGAAAAAGCGCTAGGGCTAGGCATGGGTACTAGTG